ATTCATTTCTATTCGATTCGAATTTGGTGTATTGTAAATACCCCAAAGAGATAACAAAGGCGCTGTGCAATGAAAAGAGGACCCAGCAGCCCATGCGCGCGAACGTGGGAGCGTCGGCGCACCAAATACCATCGAAAGGTTCGCGCACCTGGACCGCAAATGCTTGAATACTTTTGCAAGCGCTCTGTGAGAGCCGCCTCACGCACAGCGTACTCTGGCAGTACGCTGTACGCTGGCACACAGTGTACTACCAGAACATGTTGCTGGCAGTACACTGAATGCCATCGAAAAGTCGACGGACTCATTGCGCTACTGTGTTGGACGAGATCCGAGTTCTTATCCGTAATTTATCGTGATTCTAGTTAAATTAGGTTCATTTTTCTATTTACACACACCTTAGCTACGTAACCGGAAAGATACGCGTTGACCAGCTGGCGCAAGCAGTGCTCGCAAACAAAACAACCATGGACGACGACTCGAATCGCAGACCAGCATCAAGGCGAGCAATTTGGCCATGTCAAACGTTGTCCATTTGCCGATAAAGCTCGCAGATTGAAATGAATTGTGCTGAAAATTACATCACACGACAACCTGCATCATTGCTGTTGTTGGTCATACTGCGTCGTGGACGCGAGGCTGCACTGCCCTCACGTCGCGGGAGCTGCTGCCGAACCTCTGGTTGGCCACCAGTCGCTTGGCGCTGGGTGCGCAGCTGCTGCTGCTTGTAGTACGCCTCCGCCTCCCGCTGGAGTCGAAGCTCTTCGTCTGTCATTTCGAGCGGGTCAACGCTCACGCCCGAGATCATCGGTGGCACATGCCGCGGGCTTGGCGGTCGACGTGGCGACGGCGGTCGTACCGGCGGTTCGGGCATCGCGCCTTTTGCCATTCGGTTTTCTTCTTCTTGGAGGCGCAGCGCCATGAGATAGTCGGCGCTACCATATAGCATCTTAGCGTTGCACACGTAAATCATTGCATGGTCGTACTCGTCCTCCGAGATGATGGGCGGCGGTGGCTCGTCGGTGGACTGCGTCGCCAAGAGCGCTTGCTGTTTCGTATCGCGGGCAACGACCGGCGTAAATGCGCACGTGAAATACTCGCTGTCGCCGTCAATTTCATCGAGTTTTTCCCAAATGACGCTCGGTTCGTCAAAGTAGCCAGCGTCGGTAGCGAGCAGGTAGAGCGCGCCATCAATCTACACAAGTTCATCATCATCCAGACAATATTCTCCATCTTTTTAACGATAGAAATACCTTGAAGATGGTCGAAAAATGATTGTTGCGGAAAAATACGGCCAGTTCCCGCTCCTTGATACCTTCTTCTTCGTGCAGCAAGACGAGACCGGCAAACGTGAGCTGGTTGGCACTCTCGGCGAGGAACTGCTCAATGATCGGCCCGTCGTGCTGGACCTGCTGGACCTTGGCGACCGCGTTCTCCATCGAGAGCGACCGCTCCTTGACCATGGTGGAGGCGGCGGCGCTGGCGTCGTCGCCAACCGAGTGGTGGTCAATGACCGTCTCGATAATGTGGTTGTACGACTTGGCGCCAATGACCGAGGCCGTCTCAACATCCTGCGGGTCGACGACCCAGCCGTGCACGAGGCGCATCGCGAGTAAATCGAAAATCGCGAGTGCGCTTGTGTACTCGAACGCGTCGATCGCATGGAACTGAACGTTGACGTCCAAGCCAACATGCAGCGACGGAATGAGGTCGACGACTTCCTGGACGGTCGTCTTCTCCGCCTACAACACACACGATTCCATGCACAAGAAACGAGATGCGAGCGGACGCTACCTCGGAAAAGTGGGCATTGGTCGTGAGGATGCGCTGCTGGACCAGCTCCATGACATCACGCGCGTACACGTAGCCTTGACCGGCGGGCGTGGAGCGTACAAACGCGTCAATGTGCAAATGGCCCCGCAGCAAGAGCACGTTGCAGATTGCGAGCAGTGGGCACGGACCATTGACGTTTTGGCAAATGTAGAGTACATCACGCTGGAGGAATTTCGTCCGCTTGACCCAGTAGATGCTGTCGGGCTTGGCCTTGGGCGACGACCGAGGCGACGTCCGAGGCGACGTACCATCGCTTGTTCGTGGCGCCGCGGTCGGCGAGGGTCGCTTCGCCTCCTCGTTCACTGCGATCGTCACCATCGTCGCCGTCGCATTGTCGAGGTGGGTCGTGTCGATCGCGCTGGCCGGCGACCGTGGGCTCCCGCGCGCGGTCGCTTCGCCATCGGCAGCAACCGCTGCTTGCGCCAGCGGGTTCATCTCGTCAGTCATGCAGACGTCGACCTCGGTCGGGTTCGCCGACGCGGTCGGGTCGTGCTGCATCTTGTCCGTTGCGGAACTGCTTGGAGAAATGAACCAGCGCTCATAAATTGCGTTTGGTTTATCTTGCTATTTGTATGGGACATGTGCTGTACAATAAATAATTCTCAATTCCCAGAAAAGTCGCAATCAGAATGGATTTCTTAGTGGGGCCTTGTTTGGCTGGCTTTGCTGCCTGATTAGGCTCTTTAAATCCTATATAGGTTGTTGAGAACTACTTCAAATAGGCGCTTGAGACAATCGAGATAGGGCTGGTAATTTCTCCCCGTGCTGATGGGCCCGAACTCGCAGCGAAAGAGCGCGGGCAAGCGGGAGCTACTCGGGAGTGGGACTGCGTGCGTCTGCTTGGCGCCTCCGCAGCCACCAAGAGGTCGCCCAACCGCACAGAACGCGTCTGCGTGCAGTCTCTCTGGAATTGAAAAAGCGGCCATGTCTCTGTCATTTAATATATTTGTGCGGTGCAATATGTAATGATAGAGGTCCAGAAGACGCCAAGTAGTGTGTGCCTTTGACATCAGTTGCAGCATGACAGACGCGCTCACTATTAGTGCATAAAGGTAGCTTTATGGCGCATTCCATAGCTATCACTGCTGTAGATGTGTGTGTGGCTCTCTGTAGCGGACCACCGAAGGCGTTCCCGCCTTGCCACCGCCACATTCGCTGCCCCACGAAGGAATAACACTATATGTAGCTTGAGTTGGTATATAGTGTGAGCTCACGTTGCCGTCGCGAGCGTCGACTTGGGTGCATAAAAAGCGGCTGGTCCACCGACGGGATATAGTGTGCGCATCGTCGCCTCCCATTGGCCAAAGCAAGTTTGCCTTTCGCAGTGACTGAAGACGACGACCATGGTCTTCGACAAGACGTTCACGGTGTCGAAGGGACCCGCGGCCTCGATGGCGCTGCAAACGGCAGCGCTGCAGGTAGCCTTCCTTCCGCCTACAGCGGCTCAAGCGACGCATGCGTAGAGCATCCAACGCGTGGCCGGCAACGCCAAGACGCTCAAGGACCTCGCCGAGACCTTCCTCGCCGACTTTGAGGCATCGCAGGGCCACGGCTGGCACGTGATCGTGGGCAAGGACTTTGCCGTCGACGTGCGCTACGTACGCTCATATCCACTTTTCATGCTGGTAATGCTAAGTACAATGTAGCGCAAGGGCTGCGCGGTCGTCCTCTTGCACAAGTCGACAAGCACCAAGCTCGTCTTGTACCGAGCGACACACACATCGGCGACGCCCAAGCTCAGCGCCAACGTGCCGACGACTGGGGCTCCTGGCCTGTACGTAAAATCTGCTCGCTATTAGACCGGCAGCCTCACAGCTGCATCAATGCTTGTAGGAAGAGCACGATCATGGAGTCGGACATGACTGCCACCCACGAAACAGCGCTCGTCCGCATGTGCGAGCGTCTCGTAGGCCTTGGCACGACCGAACACATGGTCGCCGACCTCAAGGTACGGCGCCTATGAATGACATTGGACCATATACCGTATCGCAACCCTCTCTCGTAGGCGTACCTGGTCCAGAGCTATGGCAACACGTGGCATGTGGCGGTCGCGGCCAACCACGATCTTTGTGGCGCCGTGCACGCGACGCCGGGCACGTACTGCGATCTGACGCTGACGAAAGGCAAGCAGTGCACGCGCTTTGTCGTCTTTCAGAGCTCGGGCTTTGACGCGAGTGTCGATTTGCTCACGCTGCTGCACCGCGTCGCGCTCGTGGTCGCAATGATGGCCGGTGTCCTCTTCCTCTTTTACAAGACGAGCTACCGTGTCGAGTGCCTGGACGAAGCCGCGTGCTCGGCCAACGAACACCGCGTCGCCAAGTCGAGCGAGTGGTGGCAGTTTGTGACGACGCTGGCGGTCGTCGCGCTGATTGGCCTCGCGTCCGTGCTGCGCATGAGCCGCAACACGATCCGGCAAAAGATCAAGCACGTGTAGAGCCGTTGTCGATAGATGGATAAGGTGGAATACCATATCGTACATAGAACCGGCGACGTTGTGGTTGACGCTACTCAGTGTCCCAAAGCACCGCCAATGCAGCAGCGTCTGGTGATCTACAGCAACCTCAAGAAGCTGATGCAGCTGCGAGCAAAATGCAGTGGGGGATGGTTCGAACTGAGTACCAATCGACAACTGCAATGGCGCCAAAACGTAAGCGACACTGCTTCTAAAGGCACCAACCCGCTCCCCAGCGATCGCGTGCTTATATTTGCCGCCATGTCCTGGAATTTGGTAGCCAGACTCGACGGCGCTGCCGACCGATTCCTGGACGTCGAGGACTTGACGCCGGCCGCACGCGCGGCCTCGCCCTTGCAGCCGACGACGACGAATTGGTCGACGCGAACTCGCTCTGCGTGATCTCGTCATGCGTAGAC